GCCACTATACAGCGGAGTGTTCATGAGGGTGATATGAACTTGTGCTCACATTTCACAGAATTTTAAGCATTTTGCTTGTCATGCGATGAGCTTTTATCAAATAGAATTCATTTCTCAGAGTTGCCAACCCCACCACCTCATGAGTTTAGACATTTCCTGACTCCCGGATTTTTTTAAAAAATCCAGGAGTCAGGATTTAAGTTTTGCTGATTGAGAGCTTTGCTGATTGAGTGCAACAATGCTTTTTGTTTGCTGGCGTTTGCTGGCTCCAAGTGTGTGCTGCTCATGCGACGCGTCCTCAGCTGCCGGTACTGCTGAAGATGGAGCCTGTGCAGCCTAGGAGGATGACGTATGCGGAGCAGCTGGAGGCAATGCGGCCACCTTGCGGGTTTTGCATCCTGGCGGACGGGACCATCCTGCTGTCCAATCGGCCGGAGACCTACACGGCGGAGATGGTGGTTGATGCCTATGAGGCATGGCGAAAGATGAAGGCAAATGGCTTAGTGCGTGAGACCCGACCTGCGGCTCAATGAGTCTATGATTGAAACAAGAGCGACATCCATCATCTGCTCAAGATGGCACGCGGTTCAATGTATATTTTTTGCAAGAGACACAACCTGCGGCTCAATGAGCCGCATGTTTTTTATACAGGAGCAACATCCATCATGAGTCAGCCATGACCATGACAAGACGGCATACGGCTCAGTGAGCTGCGTGATGAACATGCGATCGGAGCATGAACTCGATTTCAAGTTTAAGAATCAAAGTGCGAAAAAACACGATTTGATCAGTTTTGGTGTAAATTAGAAAAACTTGAAATTTTATATCTCAAAAAAGTTAAGTTCCCTAAGTTAGTTATGACTTATTTTTGACTAGTTTTTGAGAATCTAGATATAGAACTTAGAAATTTCTAACTTTTGCTAACTAACTTGCAAGTGCCACATCTTAACATAAAAACTTGTGCTAGTTACAGAACTTGTAACCCCTTCGTAACTAAGTTACCAACCACTTACAAGATACTTACAAGTTCCCTAGCCAAAAATGAACCACCAAGTAGTTGCAGTTGCTTTGCAAGATGCTCCAAACAGTGCAGGGACTCCACAATGGCCAATCTGGGATTCCAGATGTCCAGCATCTTCAAAAGCCAGCGGCGGCATGCGCGCTTGCGGAGGTCGACACCATAGCGGATGTCGATAGGTTGCAAGACCTTCAGACCCCAATTCCTCCCGGCTCTCAAAGAAACCATCGAAGTTCCGCCGAAGATCTCGATGAGGTCATAGCCAAAGGTCCTGCGGGGCCAGGAAGAAGAGGTCATCTTGGTTTGAATCACTCCTCGGGAAGCTCTGCTCAGTGCCAAAGCTTTGCGGGCGTTGTGCCTCAGCTTGCGGCGTATGCCGGACTTCAAATTCCGCGTCCACATCCATCACCTGGCTCCACTCGGCTGAGGAATCCTGCTCGTCCTTGACCGGTGAGCGCTTCGAAGGCGAAGGCTTGGCTTTGCTCTTCACTGCCGTAGTGGTCTTCTTGCGCACCACCTCGTTGATGGAGACCGCCAGCTCCTGCGAGGAGGATTGCGAGTAGCACCCTTCCAAGTTGCCATAGTAGGCCGCCTCCTTGGGCTTTAGCGCGAACTTGGTGGCCTTTCCGCCGGGTTGCTGACGATAGCCGTGGCCGTGGAGGAAGGGGTACACCACCACTTGCATGCTCCTTGGTGATCGGGATCACGTAGTCGCTCGGCAGAGCTTTCTTGATGAGGCCGCAGTCCAGGCATTCCATGAACCTCCCATGTGCGTTCCCCAGCCGTCTGGCTGACTCCACCTCGTGAGGGCAGTTGGGAATCGCCAAGGGGTAGGCCGACATCAAGCCCTTCGTAGTCTGACCCGCTGCTTTGGTGGTCGCAGGCGGGACCGTTGCTGGCATCTCCTGCTGCTGCTTGAGCATGGCCTCCATGTAGCCCAGGAGTGCGGGTGAGCGATGCTTCATCTCGCGGACGGTCTTGTTGATCATGTTCCAGCATGTCACCAATGCCCAAAGGCGATCCAGGGTGATCACGAAGCGCCGCCATGCCTGCTGAGCTTCCGTCTTGCCCATGAACTTGTTCACGATCTGCTCGTAGACGTTGTCGTCGTTGAAGTTGTCTCTCCAAGACAGCTTGGGAGCCGAATTGCTTCGGAGGTATCTCGAACTTCTTCTGCCGAAGGCTGGTGGCATGCTCGAACAAAGGAAGCTTGGTGCTGGGGTTCAAATCGAACTGGAGGATCTTCTTGGTGTTCTTGGGTGTGAGGCTTTTGACATCAACCACACGCAAACTACCATCCAAAAACGTGACGTGAACACCAGTGTCCAGGAGCGGCTCGACGACGGGCGGTGAGGAACCCTTCAAAAAGAAAAAGGTTTGCCCGGTCCAGGCCATAGGCAGTGATTGCTCTGCCGTGGTGTGCTCCCAAACATCATGTAAAACATCATGAAGGCCATGCACCAACGTGATCCTATTGTTCGACAGCTCCTCGGACTCAGGGCCTGACTTGTCTTCCATGGGGTTGAAGAGCTGCTGTCGTGGCCTACGGTGGTGCCGAACAAACATGCCCTTGTCATACTTGAACTCCCAAAAATCAGGTTGAACACAACATGGGCCCTGGGGAAGGTTCTTGTTGAGGTCATCGTCATTGGGCTCATAGTGGTAGTTGGGGCTCACCTTCACAGCTTGCTTGGCCGACTCGAAACGGACGGACGCGTAGGTTTCCCGGTCGGCGGAGAGCTCCGGACCCCAGTCGATGCAAGATTCATCGATCTGGATGGGTGTCGCGTCCACCCATGGAGGCACAGGGTCGAAAATGATGCCCTCGTAGCCGTGGCCATATTTGCAGTCCTGGCCTGGCCGTCGTACTGCTCCTCCCAGTAGGTGTCGTCCCACTGGAACTCATCACCTTCTTCCTCATAGTCCCAAGTGTCCCAAAGGGCATCGCGAGAGTCGCGTGCCGTCTCATGAGCTCCGCGGCGTTGCTTCGGGCATTCAGGGTCGCCTTCCAGTGGCCGATCTGTTCACAATCGCCACAGGTCGTGACGGCTTTGAGCTCTTGCAAGGACATGCCACGGGCCTTGCCGCCGCCTTTGGATCTTTTGGACTTGGACTTGCCGCCCTTGGATCCTTTGCCACCCTTCTTGCCCTTGCCGGCGTTGCCACCGGACACATAGAAGCCACGGGCTTTGACTGCCTTGGCCAACTTCTGCCGGTTCTCCCGGCGAGTGGCAAAGCATTGATGAAGTTCTCGCGAAACTTCTTCAGGAACTCCCGGTTGTAGGTCAGCATTGGCCAGGGTCTCAATGGGGTCATTCTCCCATAGCCAATCTTCAAGCTGCTCTTCCGAGGCGTCCCAACTCGGCCAACTGGATTCAGTTGACTCAGCATGAACTTCGTGCGCACCTCGACCCTTACCTTGGCTCCTCGATGGTGTGTAGCCCTTGGAGACCAACGTGTTGGGGTAGAGGACGTCGATGGCCTGCTTCAGCTTGCGCCAGTTGTACTCGCCGTTGGTGCGAAGCAAGAGGTTCGTCTGGCGCTCCTGGCTGAGACCGGTGTGCTCGAAGTACCAGTAGATTCTAGATGAGGACGGCATCGGGCATGTCGAGGCCTGTATCGCGGCAATCGCGATGAGCCTTATCCAGAAGGTCGGCGGCCTCGCGAAGGGTGTGGTTCCCGGTGCCAAGCTGCATCTTGAAGAAGGACTTCATGGCGCTCCCGATCTTATGCACCTGCGGCTCGTCGAACTTCTCCTGGAGGACCCTCATGAGGATGCGCCATCCATCAACGCCACCGAAGGTCTTGGCGGGCACATCTTCGAGGTACTCTGCGGCCTTGCCCTCCAGCGCCGCATGCAAGCGCAAACCAATTTTGCCCTCGTCGATGATCTTGCGGGCGATCTCAACGTAGGAGTCGACCTTGCCAATCCAGATCTTGAAGCACTTCGGATTGGTCTTACGGTCGCCGTTGAAGACTGGAGCTGGTGGAAGGTTTCCACGTGGTCGCTTTTGGGACCTGGATTCGCCTGAATCCTTGAATATACTCTTCGAGGTGGTCTTCGAAGGACTTCCAGGGTCTCGGTGATCATCACCGGCTTGCGAACCACCTGCCAACGAAGGCGTAGCTGACCTCGGTCCATTTCTGCCCAAGCGACTTGCGGGGGGAGTAGGCGAAGCTGGTGGAGGCGAGCTTGAAGTCAAACCGCCATCCATCTCGTCCTTAGCCTTGGGCTCTTCCGGCTCGTAGGTAGGACGCTTCTAAGGTCTCATCCTCTTCGCCCTCCTGCCAGTACTCCTCTTCAGCCTCCTCGTTCTCGGGGATCTCATCGTCGTAGGACTCTGTGAAGTCCATCCCATCGAGTGTGGCCATCGGGTCGGGCACGACCACGAAGGATCGCGTAGCTGCGCGCTACCAATGCAGTTGAACCCTTTCAAATGCAGGGTTTGTGGAGCTTGGTTCTCAAAAGCTCAGGGGGGTGGTTGCACACACCAACATGAAACACGGCGCGGGCGATGCGCAGCCCACTTTTGCCTACGCTCAAGGGCCCTGTGGCGTCGGGATTCACAGGGTCAGTGCTCATGAACGCATGCCAAGATTGCAGATCAAACCTTGCTTCCACCAAACACCAGACTGGACAGGCAAATCAACTCCTATCCCCCACTGATGAGGTGTGATGCCGGTGTCAGCCCTAAGTTTCCCTACAGTATCTAGAAACCAAATCTGGCGAACAATTCTTGCAGCGTTTCCCTATTTGTGCGAGCAATTCTTCAAAGAAGCTCACCCGCGCCCTCAGGCGGGGAGAGCTTGCTTGAAGAAGCGTGAGCTACCCTGTGTCCATACCAGTAGCTTACTTCAGCTATACATGTAGCCTGTACCTCTTCTGCAGCGGCCTCCCCCCTGGGCTCAAAAATAAAAATGGCAAAAACATAGTATAAACATAATAGTACCTAATAGCGGGCAAAAAAGAACGTCCGGTCTCCTGGTAGAAGCTGAAATACTTCTGCATGTCATTCCAACTTCCAATGGCAAAAGTATCCTCCACTACCCCTTGAATCGGCATCGCCACAAAGTTGGTCAACAAGCTACCTGCAGTGAACTTTGGCTCATGCGAGCCTTCATACCAAACAGAATATCAAAATTACCATGAACAAATGCGTGCGTTGCCAGTCCCAGCTTTCTGCACTCAGTGCAGGTTAGTGAGGCTGTTGGATGTTGTTAGGGAGGGTTCAAATTCTGATCCAGCCTGGCACAGTACTCTTCAGTGAGTTGCGGTCAACGAAGCTAAACCACTCAACATCAGGTCGAACACGTGCGACAAAATCGTACTTGGTCCAGGGACTCCTTGTCACTTGCATCAGCTGGTAAAAAAGAACTACCTCCTCGCCAAGCACAACACTGGAAGCTGCCTTCTCTCAGCACATCGCAACACATTGCTGGCAAGGTAAAATCTACAGAATGAAAAGATTGCAGCAATTTAATCGAGTCTCTGTATCTCGAGCTTCTTTGAGCAAGCACTTGAATGCTTCCCAGAGAGCATCATCCTCCGCAAGGCAGGTGTATTGTTGTTGCCTCCATAGCCCAAGCCATGCCAGTGAGTAGCCTCACAAATCCAATGAACACAGGAGGCTTACGGACATGGCAAAATACCATGAATTGTTTCTTAACTGTACACTGTATTGATTGATTGCAATTGATTGTTTGATGCTCCCTTCAGAATCTTTCTATATCTTTCTCCTAATCAATCATGTTCAAGACTGTTCAAGCTCATGCAGCCCATGCCATCACAGAATAGATTAACATAGAAATCGTATAGAAACCGTTATTCCCACTAAAGTTTACTAGAGTATTAGCTGGTCTGAGCCAAGAACCCACCATTCATGCGTCAGAAACCATTGCATGAATTGCGTCTCAGCCTTGGGTAACACGATCGTGAACTCGTTGTGCTCATTGAACCGGTTACTAGAACCGTTTCCGTACACCATAGAAAAATAAATCATACAAATCCATACAGTATCTTCAGTGTCTCCGACGTCGACTTGCCGATTTCGCTCCGCTGAAGCAAATGAGTCTCAGTGGCGTACAATCGCTTTGTCGATCAGTATGAGTAACAGGAATCTAAATACAAACACCGTACACTGGCCACACAAAAGTTGCGGTTTCTTGAAGCACAAACTTACACCCTAGAATCCTACATTGGGAGAACTGGGGCCGTGTGGGCGGTCAGTTTTCACACGGGGTAGCCTTTTATTAGTGAACACAGGAAGCGGCGTGATAATTGACCATCCCACACCTGCCACGAAAATTGGACTTGGCAATTCGATCCGCAGCTGACCCTACAGCGCTGTTTGAACATGGTTAACAAGTATAAACCTTTGTCATAACAGCATCCGAAAGAACCGATCTCTTGTCAACTTCCCAATATCCCCGCAGACTCCGTTGGACTACACTTGACTAAACAACTACAGCATTGGTCAGCGCCTCTACGCGCTAGGCTACCAGCACTAACCAGTAAACAAAATCAAACAAGTCTGAAAAGCGAACGTATGCCAAAGTACGTTTCATCTTGCCTAAGCTGATTATTTAATTAAGCTGCTAACTATGTCACTGTACTAATACTTCTTCGCCAATGATGTTGAAGACCTGGCTCGTGGCAAAGAGGTTGCAGCAGCAATTCCGTTCATTCTGGACCCGAGGCCCGAGGGCCAATACGTGTGTCCGCATGCTTAAGATGCTCACCCAGCGGCTGGAGTCAGCTCGTCAGACTGGCAATGTGGAAAGACGCGCAAGTCATTGTGTCTAAAAATGGAAGCTGCAGCCTTAAACACAGCAACATCTTTGTGACCTCAGAGCGATGAAAATGACAACATCTCCAACTGCCCATTTCGAAATCAACACTCTGCTTCCCCGAAACAGCTCCTTGTGTCATTGCAAAACAAGCGACTACAACTCTGTATGGGGCCCCCACAAGACTCATCTGGGAAAACAAGGAAAACATCGACGCTGGCAAAATTGGCCAACACAATGTTGAAAAGTGATGAAAAGTCCTCGGCCTGCAAAGGCAAAGGGGCCGCAGGCGATGAATTGGGTCAATGGAAGCATTATCTCAAACAAACGGACACCATAACCCTTGTTTCTTCCCTCACCTCACCTTGCAAACACCTCTCAATTGGCCCACCAGGCACACGGCCAACTCGCGGGTCGATGTGTTCGGGCTGTTGGTTGCACAATTGACACCTCGAACACATGATCGAAAGCTTCACACATTCAAAGGTCAGCATTACTGAACGGCCTCTTTGATTCATATTGCTGAGCTCACTGCGGCAGTTTGGTAGCATGGAATTGATGCCCTCACACTGCTCCGTGAATGCTTCCAATTGCCCACTGCAATGCTGAATGCAATCAAGCCGACAATGTAAAAGATCACAGAGCGCCTGATGAAAGAAGTCGTGCATAAACCATGTGAGTCAAACCACTGGCCACAATGCTGTATACAAAGTTGTTTTTTTCAATCACTGACCTGTCAAACGATGTTTTAACTTCTTTCCTTTCGCTTTGCTTGCCTCTGTTCGCTCTACTATGCTCTACTCTACTCTGATCCACTGCCCTTCACTTCAGCACTTGACATCCATGCAATTATGGTACTAGAACAAGCTAGCGCTTCAGAAGCAAGGACCTAAGCCCTCAAGTATCCCAGAAAATGTGTTGTACACAAATGAGCATTGAGTGTTTTGCACGAGCATCTGTCTACTATGTCCAAGTGAAACTTTGGATGTCTTTCCTTGAGGTGATCCATTCCTTTCAGCCCATACGATGCCAATATCAAATCAGCAAAGCATTTGAAGCTCAGTCGAAATCTCTGGGTTCAATGTAAACATTGTGAGTTCTGACTTCGTCCTTTTCCGTTCTTCTGTCCATTCCCTGCTCATTCGCGGTTCGCTTCTGTTTTGTTGCAGTACTCTTGAGTGGTCTTTGACTTTTACTCTTACTCTTGACTCTTACTTCAGGCCCTCTATGACTTTTACTCAGTGGTCTTGACTTTTACTGCTCATTCTGCAGGCCCTCTTGACTCTTACTTCAGGCTACAGAACAGCTAAGTCTGCTTGCCCAAAGCCCATTGCGCTCTGCATGCTGTCCATTTGACATATAATGTGTGGCTGGCCCATCCACTGATTCTCCAAATCGCCAACATCTCTGCTGGTGTTGTTAAAGTACACACAAAAGGCATCAGCAATTGGCTGCTTTCGTTACAGTACATTTCTTGTACTCCTTGCTTGGTTTGTCCTTTGGATGCCCTTCTTCACTTCGTTTTCGCCTGTAACTCATTACAGTTTCCGCTCACGTGAACATGAAGCAACTTTGGCCGAACATGGCCGAACGGCATTGTTCACCGGCAAGCTCACGCTTCAGGTTTTGCAACCAGCGGATTTCTCTTGAACCAGTTTGATCTTGTGAAATAGTTATATCATATATATATACATACTTATTGTGTGTTGTTTGATTCTTGGCTTTGGGAGCATGATGTTGTGGCACACTTTGTACCTGTGCACCACTTTGAATATACTTAAACGCATTTTTTTGTCTCTTGCCGACCGCTTCCCCCCTTCAGGTCCTTCCCTCCCTCCCGACTCCTTCCCACCTGCTCTTCGTTGCCACGGACCGCCGCATCATATTGTTGCATTCCCTTGGGATTCAACACATCCTGTGGACTGCCATCCAAAGAAGCACTGCAATCTGGATGGCCCTCCGAGAGTTGAAAGCCATTCACAGAGCACTTCGCCTGACATTCGCAAATCCTTAGACTGAGTCAGTGATGTACTTATATGCTTCAAAGAGTTGCGACCTGTCTTTCCAAGCACCGCGAACTGGATCCAACAACAATGTACCATACCTTACCACACACAGATTTGCATGATTTGCAAATTTGCAAATGGGTGGTTTAGTGGGCCAAAATCAAGCTTTGCGGGAACTCATTCGCTTCATAAGGACCTAAACACAAACCTCCTAGTCTGTTCGGATGCAGCTCTCATCGGTGGTTCCATTACCCACGGTTGGGCACCACAAAGACCAATTGCCATCGGAGATGACAAACACTGTTATTGTATTCTCAGCCATATCAAAAGACCTTGGCATAGCCAAGTAGGAACGGACCAAAAAACATTGTCGTTTCATGGCTGCATTGTAGATACGGAGATCTTGTCCTTCAGATTCCGCACGGTCAATTTCATTCATCACCAGTCTAAAGCGGTTTTTTTCCCGGAATGCAGCCAGTTTTGTCTTGGACGGCCGCACTGTCGTTTACCGTGGTTCACTCTGTTTGCTGTTCTTGGTTCAAAAACAATTTTTTTCAAAAGACCATCATCGCTGGTTCTAAGTACGTGCCCAGGTATCTTCCCTATACGGTGAAGGTAGGATTCGCTGAAGAGAGGATATCTCTTGTGTATGATATCTGTACATTGTTGAAGAACTAAAAACATCTAAGAACCACATAATTTACGTGAAGGCAAAGCTGAGGCATCCAAGGCAAAGCCGCTTTAGACAAAATTGTATATGGTGTAGCTGCCCAACTTACTGACACACTGATGGGGAATCCCGTGCACACCGAAGCAACGCTTCCGTCAATCACTCCACAAAAGCTTGAAAATATCCCTCCTTTGTGACTGCATCTACAAAAAATCGACAAAAATTATGTTACCAAAAAATCCGCAACCCTTTTTCGTCGCGATTAATTGTTTGGAAGTCAGCTCTTGGAGCCTACAATATAGTGGTGCCAAGCCTCCCAACAGCATCACACGCCGCTTCTGCCGCCGCTGCTGCTGCGCTCTGCAGCAAAGCAAGGGTCGCTAACATCTGGTCACTCTCGCCATCGGCGCTACCATCCCGCCGACATATCTCATATCACCAGCAAAAAGTTTATGGTTGCATACCTCCCCCCCGGAAACCGTTTTGAACCATTGGTGCCAGATATGTAGGCTTGATCTTCAGATGTAAGAGCAAAATGAAGCAGAGGTTGCATGTTGCTCAAGGTTTAGGTGACAATTGCATGTTTTCAGACAGCAAGGATTTGACACGTGGACTTGGACCTTGCCGCCTTCCTCTGCCTCATATGTCACTGTAATTACCTGGCTTGACAAGACTTTCTGTCAACCAAGTACACAATTTCTCAGGTGCAGACCAGGCAAACCACATCCGGCGCCTGTTCCTATATTCGTATTGAACAGATCGGATTTGTTGTCTCAACCTTGTGGGCCGTGCTTGGGCACGCTGGTTTGAAGTCACGCGGGCGTTGAAGAATTTCGTCCCGCGACTAATGACGTGCGCCTGTGCCCGCTTTGACCTTCACCACCCTGCCTCTATCGGGCAAGGTGTTGGTGCGCAAGGCTGCCAAACCTATTTTCCTTGCAGTGGAACACATGGTCATGGACCACCATGGGCAAAGGGCGGCGTCTGCAAAGGGAGCGGTTGCTTGCTGCGAGGCGCCTGTCAGTTGAAGTTGGGTTAGAGCCCATGCATGTGTCTGGCTGAGCCGGGTGCCTCCTCTGTACCAGGCCTATACCGTATATACCCACTGTTCCGATTCCAAAGTTTGGCTTGCGTTGCCTTGCATCGCTTTTTCCCCGGTCATGTTAGGTTCGGCGTAAGTCTGCCCCGCGTGTCTTCCACAACCTTGTGGTTCACCTCCAAGGACGTATGAATGAGTACTACATTGGAGAGTTTGTTCAACTGACGCAAGCAGCATGGGTTCAGCCAGGCCTTGGAGCGGTGGTAGTCGCGCTGGTTGAGGCAGCTGGGCATCTTGCAAAAGAACACCACGCATTCGCATCTCGGACGCGTCACGCCCTGTCGCTGAAAACAACCCTGTCCCCAACGAGCTTGTCGACGATGCCCACAGCCTGATCATTAGAGCTCAAAATTTCGACCAAAGTCCCTTGCTGTTTCCCTCCGTGGAGCAGCCCAAACAGTGGCCAAACTGTTACGATTTGATCATTGAGCTACCAGATGTCAGACAAGATGCCACAGTACATGACAAGCAAAGGCCAAATTGCGAGATGTTTAGATTCAGAGCTCACTTGCCTTGAAGCAACGCTGAAAAGGACTGAGAAGGACTGAGTAAGTTCCTGATGAACACAACCTGCGCGTGAGCATGCTTTTACAATGTACTATGAAACTTGCGGGGTTGAGAGCGCCTGACGTCACTGAGTGGGTCTTCAGCAGGGCTTTTGTCGCGTGCCCGGCATTTGTCAGGGTAGATGAAGGGGGTCCGTTTGAAGTCTGATGGCATGGATTCCTTCCAGGGTCCTGGGTCGGATGAGGCTCTCTTGCAAAACATCAATTTTACCTGCCTCCTGCACCTCCTCGAAGCTGGCCATCTGGCCGAAGGCGCCAGTGTAAAGCAGCGTCGGCAAAAATGAAAATGATGGAGTGCTTTAGCACGGCAAGTGTATCCTTCGGATAGATTTCGTCTTCTCGTCGTTGCAAGCTTTTTTTCGTCCTGAAGATCGTTGGCGGCGTGGGCCCTCAGCTGATTGCAGACAAGGCGGGTGTTGTTTTATCTGGACTATCTCGGCTTCACATCTTCCAGGGATTCCAACGTCGGAGATTGATGTTGTACGTTCCTATAACATGGCGATGATGATCATAATAACTAGGGAGTTTTCCTGCTCCTGGGCACCCAATAAGCAAGATGCCGAAGTTCATGGCCCTGGTCGTTTAAGGGAAATTTGTCCGACTTCGCTGCCTGAATGGGCGTCACGGGGCATCGGCCTTGATGTCAGTGAGAATCCAACGTGTCTGTTCAGTGGCAACACCACACTCTGGGGCAAACTCACTGATGAAGGCCACCCAAACTTCCAAGCTTGAGAGCGCTATTGGCTTTTGGGGTTTGCAGTCTTGTCCTGACGTGAATGCCACCGGGCCTGGTATCCACCCAACCTACTGACCAGCAAATTTGCATCCTTCAGGATGTTGACGTGACCCGGCTAGAAGACAGGAATGGAGCCCTCACCACCACAAGATCGAAGCTGCCGCTTGGAAGGACACAGACCAAGGAAGATGCAAGACCTTTACAACTTTGACTAGCTCATTGTCAAGACTTTGTTTGCCATACCAACTCCGCTCTGCTTTCAACATCGATTGGTGAAGGCAAGGCAGCAAGTCTTCAAAGCGTTGTCACCATGTCACTGACATCTGCATCTGCGCAGGTTCCCCCATGATACAATGCTCACCTGGACATCGAACAGTACAATGATGGACTTGACTCCATGAGTCAATGGTCAACAACCCTCATCTTGTTGCAGCACGGCGCAGAACCGTTGAGACAAGGGTTGGAGGGTCTATTGCATCAAGCGCTTGCAACAAACTTGCTCAATGGCGGTGTCCGCAAGGTTGTGGAGATGAGTCGGAGATGAGGACTGACAGCGTGAGATTTGGCTGCCGTATGAAGTTTCGAGAAATTGCGTCAATACATGTTGCAGAAACCTTGGGCGCATGTGTTTTGACTACGCTATTCTTCATAACTGCTGAACCTGGTCCTTTTCAAAACTATCGGCGCGTTCGAAGAATTCATTCTTCCAAAGCCGCTTGCAAGCTGCTCTGCATATCAGTTTGGCCTCTCCGAAGCTTGGTGTTCTCAAGCCCCCTTCAGCTTGCTAAAGAATGGCAAGTTTTGCCGCTTTAGCTGAGCACTTCCTTGTAGCTTAGCATTCTCGTGTGACCTGTGTCTCGTCTGTCCAAGCCAGGGGTGCCTCATCTGAAGACCCATGCGTCAATGCCATTAACGGGCTTGGGGGCTGTGGCTGTGGCGCTTTCTTGGGGCCTTGTAAGAGCTCAGCGAGTACTGAAAGTCTTGCATGGGAGAAAGAGGGCTCCTTCCTCGATGATTTTTGTTGCGCAGATGCCTCGGAGTCGAGGTCTTCTGCGCTGACATGGCAGGGTCGGCCGGCTTGAGTCTGATCAGCACTTCGCTGCCTTTCACATCAACGTGGCCGAGGGCCAGAAACGGCATGAAGACCAAAGAGAACAGGGACGACCCGACTATCAAGAAAAAAATTAGACCAGGACTGTTGCAAGGTAAGAATTTGCAACACGTTCCAACGGCATATTGTTCTTGAAGTGCTCTGAGTCTGAGTACAACCCTCTGCCAGGACTCAAACTAACTTCAAGATTTGAGGAAAGAATTCTTGAATCCCAGAAGTCTTGAATCTTGAATCCTGAGCTAGGATTTAAGAATTATTTCCTGGAAAGTTGAATCTTCAATCCCATTGATGGGCCAACGGGATTCAATACCCAACTTCTGGTACTCAGGGTCATTCTCCAAGGTCATTGTGCAAGCTCTGACAATTGATCACCCTCTAACAAGAGTTTTTGTGCTCATGTGTATGCTACACCCTGAGAAGCCAAGCAATCTCAGTGGTCCATGGTTGACAAATGTTGCCAAAATGATTACGTGAATTTACGCCGCCATTACGCGGATTTACGCCGCCATTACATGGATTCACACCGCCATTACGCGGATTTACGCCGCCATTTTTCCGGCAAACTTCGCAAATGTCACGCACTGCACCAATTCCGCATCTTCCCAAAGGTTACCGGTAGGTATGTTGACAAGAAGTTCACATATTGGGGTGCGTTCATCAACCTTCGGGGTTTGACACAACTATACCCAACGAAGGGCACAAGATTCGGATGTACACGCACATGCATTGCATATATATAATATAACTATTAAAACCCCCACCGTTAAACAACATGATGAAGCCCTAAAGTCCCTTCTCAATTGTGTCATCATGCAGTGGCAATGTTGAACCTAAAGAACTCGTTTGATTGCATGTGCAACCTCCCTTGTTGTGCAAAGAAGTGATGATTACACTTTTGACGATTTTGAAGATCCAACACCATCATGCTCCGACATGCCTTGATCTGCCTATGTTTGATCACTGCAGATGTTCAAGCTGGCAAAGCTCAACTTTCTGGAAAGCAATTTCAACGGAAGACTCGCCAGAGTCCAGGGCGCTTCAAAAGTCGGACCTGACCTTCCCAGTATCCCAGCTGGTCAAAGCAGGTTCATCATACCCCGACTTGAGATGGTGTTGGGTACATAATACAATAAAATACTCTGGCCAAACGATGAATGGATGCTTTAACTTTAGCAACCACCTCATGATCTTGAAGAAGCCACAGGGCCCTGGCTCCAAATGGGTCTTCCTCCGAGCAGGGCTCGTAAAGTAGCAACCTGAAACAAGTAAGTGCAGCAGATCGAACTCTGTCCCAATTTCGCCAAATCCCAGGATATTGGTCACTGCAAAGTAAATTTGCAAGCTCTCAAATGAGGTTGCACAAAGCAAGCAACGCGCGCTGCATGTTGGCGCGGTGACAGGATGGTTTGCAACTGCATCAGCAAAGAGAAAGCATGGACGACATGTTTGTTGAGTAAAGTATTGTGTATTGTACTGCAGTCTCGCACGCACTCGAGGACATGGCTGCCTAACAAAGATTTGCCCTCTACCTCGTTGAGATTCCAGTTTAAGAGTCTTCTGTCGACAATGTTTGTTAAAATTACGCCGGCCTTCATCTGCATTGATTCGACGGAGGTCTTGAATTTTGCTTTTTTTGGGACAACGCATTGCTCATAGCTCGCATTCTTGGGGAATGAGAGATTCTTCGTTTGAAAACCTGTTCAACTCGTTTCAAGTTGAATTGCAACTATAATAACCATGCAACAAATTAAAGAGCCCCCACTTCTTTAAAACCATTCTCAAGATCTCTTAAGTCTGAGAGTGAGATAAATGCACGTGGGCCGGAAGCTGAACGGAAAAATGACTGTGACAACTGGACATATAAATATATATAAT